AAAAAAAAAAAAAAAAAACTAGGCTACTACATGAGCGAATTATTTATTCCATATATTTAAGTATAACTATATGGGCAAATATTAATAAATAATTGTTATTTACAACTAGATTGTCATTTCTCCTTAGTGACTTTGTTTATGAATTTTTTACTGTTTTTCATTCTATAGTTATACTTACATTTGCATATTTTTTTCTTAAGACTATATAAAATAATTTTGGGTATATTTATATAAATATTTTTTACTAAGATAATAAATAATTTCATTTGTCTATGTATTTTTTAATTTGTATTGATAATTAAGTTTAATTTTTATTTATAAAGATAGTTAGAATTAATTTTAAATTTCTAAATGTGATATAGATGTAAAATAAAAAATCGTCAAAAAATAATTAGTTTGATAAATTATATCCGAAAAAGGGCTACATATAAAAAAAAAAAGTTATTATCATTTAAACTATGAATATAATAATTTATGGTAGTTAATAAATGAAATAAACGAGAATAAATAATATGAATTTTCTATGGTGAGATTTGATTTTGAGAAAGAGAAAAAATGACAAATATAAATGCATAATTACCAAAATTGGAAATAAACTATTTATGTGAAGTACCAAACATAAATTTAAAGCAATATTATTTATACAAACCGAATTACGAAGCACATCATTTTAATATGACAACATCCGAAGCGTGCGAACTTGCCACTTAAACTCAGCACGTTCTGAAATTATATATAGAGAGGATAAGAGAAATTAAATCTGCCTAATTTATATATATTATTAACAAAATCTATCCAAATATAATTGCAATTTTAAAGTGAACAACAAAATTATTGTAAATAATAAAAATATGCCATTTTAGGTCATGATTGATATAAATTATAATTCATTTTCTATATAAATGACTAAGATAGATAAAATTCAATTTTATGTTCTCTATTTGTCTATTTGGTAATCGAATTTGTACATGACTATATATATTCTCAATTTTACATGAATTTTGGAAAATGTAACGTTTGACTTTAAAAATCATTTAATCACAAAATTCAGACATCTTAAGTTTAATTTAGTATCCAAGAAAAAATAATTAAATTGACACTTATTTTGATATGAATATGATGTAATTTATTACATGTTATGTGCACTGTACGAGTTGTGTACTAATTTCAATGGGCATGCTTTATGTAATTTTGCACAAATTATCTTTCATATAACATTTGAAATAAATTAATATAGGAAGGAGGGGATCATTTCATATTGATTTCATATTTTAATTAATTTATTATTATTATTTAATAAACAGTTTTTATAAGTATAAATGAATATATCTTACCCGTGCATCACGAGATTCGTACTAGTTTTCAATATATAAAAATAATATATTTTTAATAATATATAAAAATAAAAAGTAATATATTTTTAATAATATATACTTTTATTTTTTAATTAAACAATATAAAAGAAAGTTTTCAATTTTCTTATTTGAATATTATTTTCTAAGATAATATGTTTTTAATAATATATAAAAAATAATATATTTAGAATATTTTAATAATATATTTTTAATAATAAAATTTTAAAAGTAATATATTTTTAATATATAAAAAATACTATATTTTTAATAATATATAAAAATAAAATAATATATTTTCAAGTTATATATAAATGCTTTTTTTAGTTTTATTTTATATAAATATTTAATATATCTAATTAAACAATAAATAAAAGTAAGTTTTCAATTATTTTATTTGAATTTTATTTTTTAAAATAATTTTATTTAATATATTTTAATCATAATTTATAATATATATTATATATTATTTTTTTTATTATTATTTGTCAATTTTATTTTTTGAAAAATTGATTCCTACACACATGGGAATAAAAAACCTTCCATGGACTGGAATCACTAATCACATGGAGATGAGTTTTGTCATTCCCATTGGAATAGTCATTGCTTTCCAAAAAAATATACCAAACATGGGATAAAGAATGAATAAGAGAATGATCATTCCATTCTCATGTCATTCTTTCATACCAATCATGCTATTAAAGTTATAAACGAGTTGCAAAGTAACACGCATGGCCAAGGAAAAATTTAAAATCATGCAAGAGCCCATATATCTTCAACCCAATCTCGTTTATTAAACGAGTCGGGCCAAACTCAAGCTTTGACGAGCAAAATTTAAATTAACAGTTCTACTCACTCTACGCTCGACTTACCCTGACTATTAAGAAAGAATGTATCAATATTTAGTCAAAAAAAAAAAACCGTTTTGAAATGATACTACATACTTAAGTTGATGGATGTAAAGTAATGAATTTGAAAGGTTAACTAAATCAGATTCTAAACCCAAATGGAGTCTATGAGTCTGTTGTCAGAGTTGAGTTGTGCTAAACACAATTAGTTGACTAAATGAATCAAAGAATGAGCTCGACCTCAGCTCATTTATCAAAAGTAACAATTTGAATTCGAATCTTAACAGATTGGGCCAAGTAAAATTTTAAAAATCATGTCAATGTTGACAATTCTTCTGGCATCGTGCAAATAATGGACTAGATCAAAATGACTCAATTAAATTCTAGTGCTTCTCCTATTAGTGAAGTTTCTAGAAAAAATATATCAAACGACGCAACGCACCTTGGGTCGCTATGGAAACAGCCTCCTTGTATAATTACAAAGGTAAGGTCTGCGTACAACTGACCCCCAGACCCCAACCTGTTTGGGAATATACTGGGTATATTGATGTAAAAACCCTTATTTCTCAAACCCAAGCTCGTTTAATAAACGAGTCATAGTAGACTTGGGCCTTAACGAACAAAGCTCACAAACAACTCTCGTTTCATGTTTCATTTAATTTAACAGCTCTACTCACCCACCCTGCATTCGGATTCCCCTGACTATTAAGAAAATGTGTCGATATTTAGTCAGGAAATACCGTTAGAAACGATACCATACTTTGCTTAATTGTAAAGTAATGATATTGAAAACTTAAAACTAAGCCAAATTCTAAGCCCAAATGGAATCTACAAGTCAATTTGGCATGAGCTTCATAATAGTAACCCATAACTAACAGTAACAAACATGGAATTTCTGGTGTAAGGAAAAAACTTTTATAAAATCACATATATCAGTTAGTCCTCCAAACATGTATACACCACCTATTCAAGATCCTATACTTCATCTGTGTGGGGAAAAAAAACAAAAAGAGAAAGGTCTCGACCATCTGAAACACACCCGTCACTGAAAATCGAGTATCCGCACCTATCTTTTTCTATTCTTTGTATAATCATTGTCACCCTATAGCTGTGATAGCTTCAAGATTTTGGAAGCACATGAAATTTGAAAGACGTAAGCTGAAAACTAAATGGAATGACTAAGAGGGCCGATACCTAACTCGTCTTCAACGTCATCAGTTTCTTCAAACAGTTTAAGAAAACGGGCCTGCTGTTGCTGCCTCTTTCTTTTCTGCCACCATTTACAAGCACTCACAAAGCCAGCAATAAGTATGGTCGAGACTACAATAGTGAGAACCACAATTATCGCCCAATGCAGCTGTTTTGAGTCGATTTTTACTACTGCAGTATTGTCTGAAACAGACAAAACCAGCACATCACAAAA